TAACCTGCACATCCGTGGGCACTATGGGTAATTTAGCACGGCCAATCCACTCGAGCCTGCACATCCCTGGGCACTATGGGTAATTTAGCGTAGCCACTTCACCCTCACCTGTACATCCCTGGGCACTATGGGTAATTTAGAATGGACAATCCACCCGAACCTGCACATCCCTGGGCACAATGGGTAATTTAGCACGGCCAATCCACCCTAACCTGCATATCCCTGGGCACTATGGGTAATTTAGCGCAGCCAATCCACCCTAACCTGCACATCCCTGGGCACTATGGGTAATTTAGCATGGCCAATCCACCCTAACCTTCACATCCATGGGCACTATGGGTAATTTAGCACGGCCAATCCACCCTAACCTGCACATCTTTGGACTGTGGGAGGAAACTGGAGCACACAGAGGAAACCCACACAGACACTGGGGAGAAGGTGCAGACTCCCCACCGACAGTCGCCCCGAGGGTGGAATTGAACCCGGGCCCCTGGCGCCGTGAGGCAGCAGTGCTAACCACTGAGCCACCCAGCGTCAAGGAGATTGACAAAATGTCCTCTAATCGAAGGATCAAGAGTTTTGGATGGGGGCAGCTCCAGCAACATTCCAGAAGCTCGACACCATCCAGGGACAAAGCAGCCACCCGCTCGATTGGCCCCACATCCACAAACATTCCACTCCCCCCACCACCGACGCTCAGTAACAGCAGTATGTACCATCTACAAGATGCACTGCAGCAACTCACCGAGGCCCCTTAGACAGCACCTTCCAAACCCACGACCCACTTCCATCCAGAAGGACAAGGGGCAGCAGGTACATGGGAACACCAGCCCCTGCAAGTTCACCCTCCGAGCCCCTCACCATCCCCGAATTGGAAATATATCGGCCGTTCCTTCAGTGTCGCTGGGTCAGAATCCAGGAACTCCCTCCCTGAGGGCACTGTGTGGGGGTCCCTACACCACACGGACTGCAGCGGCTCACCCCCACCTTCTCAAGCGGGGCTGTTAGGGTGGAACAGGGCAATAAATGCTGGGCCCAGCTAGCGACGCCCACATCCCACGAGTGAATAAAGAGTCAAGGGGCCATAGTCTTAAAGTGAAAGGCAGGAGGTTTTGAAGGGATTTGAGGAATATATTTTCATACAAAGGGTGGTGGTAGGAGTCTGGAATACACACCCAGGGAGGGTAAACTCACAACCATTAAGAAGGACTTGGATGAACACTTGATATGTCACAACATTCAAGGCTTTGGGCCTAGTGTGGGAAAGTGGGACCAGTGTTGATTTAGTGTGGTTTTTTTGGCAGTACAGACAGGGTGGGCCGAAGGGTCTCTTCTATACTTCCTCCTTTGATGTTCCCCGGAAATCATAGCTTATGTCCTCTCCTTCCCAATTCTTTTTGATCGCTATTCCAGAATCTCGGGAAAAGTATGTCGAGTCAAGATTTCATAGCAAACTTGGAAGGCATGAACAACGGCAAGGATTTTCCAAAAGACATGCTGAAGGTAATTTATTTTGTTCCTCTTTATTTTCCTCTCTCTGATGACCTCCTCAAGTCCTCAAGCGAAGATCTTGACTCTTTTCTTGGATGTAAATCAGGAAAATTGGTTGTCTGCCAAGTGACATTTCCTCAAAACAGACAGCGTGTGGTTATATTGGAACGCATTGGATAGACAGCACAGAAACAGGCCATTCTGCCCAACCGCTCCCTGCTGGTCTTTATGCTCCATTTGCGTTCCAGTTACATATCCTCCTTGAAATCTACCGGTCTGTCGATCCTTTCCAGATAGAGTCATACAGCATGGAAACAGACCCTTCGGCCCAACTCGTCCATGCCGACCACATATCCCAATCTGACCTACTCCCATTTGCCAGCATTTGGCCCATATCCCTCTAAACCCTTCCTTTCCATATATCCATCCAGGCACCTTTTAAATGTTCCTCTGGCAGCTCGTTCCATACACGCACCACCCTCTGCGTGAAAAATTTACCCCTTGCGTCCGTTTTTAAATCCTTCCCCCTCACCTTAAACCTATGCCCTCTAGCTTTGGACTCTGGGGGAAAAAGACCTTGGCTATTCACCCTATCTGTGCCCCTCATGATTTTATAAACCTCTATAAAGTCACCCCCTCAGCCTCTGATGCTGCAGGAAACATAGCCCCCAGCCTATCCAGCTTCTCCCCATAGCTCAAACCTTCCAATCCCAGCGACATCCTGGTAAATCTTTTCTGCGCCATCCCAAGTTTAACAGCATGAATCGGAAGGCTATAAAAGGGATTTGGGTTAAACGCTGGCAAATGGGACTAGGTCAGATTGGGATGTCTGGTCGGCATAGACGAGTTGGGCCAAAGGGTCAGTTTCTGTGCTGTAACATAATGAGCAGCCTCCCTCCCTGTTTCTCCAACCAAGAAACTGACTTGAGAGTTACTCAACTCTGTGAGTCTTCAACGTCCAACACCATCAAAGGAGGGGTTGCTGGGTAAGGCCTCAGTAGTTTCCTTTCCCAAGCCAAGAGCACAGCATTGAGCTGTCTGATGTCAAAATCTCAGCTATGATTGACCGATCCAAGCCTCAGAATATGGGGCATTCCAAATTCTGGATTTCTTCAGGCCGTGGGGTGAAGGATGTGACCGTTACTCACTCAAATAACAATCTCTGGGGCCGAAAATGCGTTTTCGACTGAACTGAAGTGGCTCCCGAATCCTCCCTAACAGCAGAGACTCGCCTCTTGTAAAAATCTGAGGGGTAACGAAAGGAGGAGACGAGAGGATCTGTGAACGAATAAACTTTTCGGCCGCACAATGAGGCCAATAAATTTCGAAAACTGCTCCTGAATTAAATAGAGGCGTATTTGCAAAATAACGCACGTGAATAGTGCAGGTCCCCCTGTATTGGATTTCTACATGCGTGAATGCAGATGTCAGGCTCTGTTCCATCTGGGAGTTCAGAAGAAAGAGTACGTCTGATTGTAAGATGCAAATTAGGGCATTGGCAATGTAGACCATAGAGAGGATGTTTCCTCGAGTGGGGACAATCTGGAACAAGAGAGTTTTAGGGGACAGGATTGGGCAGATTTAAAACCGAGATGAGGAGGAATTAATTCTCCGAAAGGGTTGTGAATCTGTGGAGTTCGCTACCCCAGAGTGCGGAGGATGATGGGATAGTGAGTAAACGTAAGGAGGGGATAGATTTTTAATCAGTAACGGGAGAAAAGGACCAGAGAAATGGAGTGGAGGCCGAGATGAGATCAGGGATGATGATATAGAATGGTTGATGGACTGAATGGCCTCCTCCCGCTAATATGAGATGTTATCTGTATTTAATCTCAATTAAAATTTCACAATAGTCAGAGGGAGATCCTCACCTGACATTCTGAAGGCAAACATATCGGATGAAAGCTCAGATTCACAATATTAGTTATTGTTCTGCTCGCTTCGTTAGGTGCACAATAATTTCTGTGATACGTAAGAGTGTGTTAAGTTCTAACGGGGATATCTTTGCTCCACACCTTTCAAAGTTTTTTTTTCCTTTGTTTCTGCTTCCTAGGCCTTATACCAATCAATCAAAAGCAAAAAACTGGAATGGGCAGTGTGAGTAGCGAATTCAACTATCCTCGCAGATTCTGAAGTTATCTCTCTCTTATCGTGAAAATGAAACGTTTGTTTATTCGTTAGAGATGTGGGCGTCGCTGGCCAGGCCCAGTATTTATTGCCCCGTTTCCCCCCTAATTGCCCCCCCTTGAGAAGGTGGGCGTGAACCGCTAACCGCTACAGTCCCATGTGGTGTAGGGACCCCCACACGGTGCCCTCAGGGAGGGAGTCCTAGGATTCTGACCCAGCTGACACTGCAGGAACGGCCGATATATTTCCAATTCGGGGACGGTGAGGGGCTCGGAGGGTGAACTTGCAGGGGGTGGTGTTCCCATGTACCTGCTGCCCCTTGTCCTTCTGGATGGAAGTGGGTCGTCGGTTTGGAAGGTGCTGTCTGAGGGGCCTCGGTGAGTTGCTGCAGTGCATCTTGTAGATGGTACACATTGCTGTTACTGAGCGTCAGTGGTGGGGGGGAGTGGGATGTTTGTGGATGTGGTGCCAATCGAGCAGGAGGCTGTTTTGTCCCTGGATGGTGTCGAGCTTCTCGAGTGTTGTTGGAGCTGCCCCCATCCGGGGCAAGTGAGGGGGTATCCCATCACCCTCCTGACTTGTGCCTTGTCAATGGTGGGACAGGCTTTGGGGGGAGTCAGGAGGGGAGTTACTCGCTGCAGGATTCCCAGCCTCTGACCTGCTCTTGTAGCCGCTGTGTTTATAAGGGTTAGAACATATAGGAGCAGAATTAGGCCATTCAGCCCATCAGGTCCGCTCCACCGTTCGATCATAACTGATGTGTTTCTCAACCCCGTTCTCCCCGTACCCCTTGACCCCCCCTCACTCATCATGACCCTCTCTATCTCTGTCTTAAAGACACTCAATGACTTGGCCCCCACAGCCCTCTGCAGTAATGAGTTCCACAGATTCACCTCCCTCTGGCTGAAGAAATTCCTCCTCATCTCAGTTCTAAAGGGCCGTCCCTTCACCCTGAGACTGTGCCCTCAGGTCCTAGTCTCTCCTACTGAGTGGAAACATCTTCTCCCTGTCCACTCTATCCAGGCCTCTGTGTTCTGTACGTTTCAATCAGATTCCCCACCTCATCCTTCTAAACTCCATCGAGTACAGACCCAGAGTCTTCACCCGCTCCTCATACGACAAGCCCTTCATCCCCGAGGTCATTCTTGTAAACCCCCTGTGGACCCCCCCTCCAAGGCCAGCACATCCTTCCTTAGATACAGGGCCCAAAACCGCTCTCAATATTCCAAACACGGCCTTATACAGCCTCAGCAGTACGTCCCTCGTTCCTGTACAGTGAGTCCGGTGAAGTTGGTGGTCAATGCTAACGCCCACGCGGGGATGCCGATGGTGGTCTCGCTAACGGACTCTGAGCATTGGCACAGATGCCGCCCTGTTTGCTTTCGCCGCTCATAGCCGTCCTGTTCTTCCAGCGATGAGGAAGAGCTGCAGAAGACCATAATGCCCAAGAGCGACGACCCCCTCAGCGTGACCCGAGTGACAGACAGAGGCAGCCCCTTTCTCGAAGTCCCGCACGATCAGAAAGCTGCCACCTACAAGGAGGGATTTCTCAGCCGCAAAGTCCACGCCGACATCGATGGCAAGAAAAGTGAGTGATCGCGAGTGCGTGGGCGATGGAGTCTTGCCAACCTGGTTGAGGCTTCTCTCTTAAGCGCTAACCGAGAGGATAATGAAGGCACAGCGGGTAGATGTTGTCCACAAGGCCTTCGATAAGGTCCCGCACGTTAGCCTGGCCAGTAAGGTTAGGTCACATGGGCTCCAGGGAGAGCTGGCCGATTGGATACAAAATCAGCCTGAAGGTCGCTAGGTGGCGCTAGAGGGTCAGCCTGCAGGCCTGGCGACCATCGATCGGTGCTGGGCCCACCATTGTTCGCCATTGACATAAACGGTTTGGATGAGAATACAGGAGGCAGGATAACACCAGAATTGGTGGTAATGTGGGCAGTGAAGAAGGTTATTGAAGAGTACAATGGAATCTTGGCCAACTGGGCCACAGGGGCACTGGGCCGAGGAGTGGCAGATGGAGGTTAATTTAGATGAATGTAAAGTGTTGCATTGTGGGAAGACAAACCAGGGCAGGGCCTACACGGTTCATGGCAGGGCCCCTGGGGAGTGTTGCCCAACAGAGAGACCTTGAGGTTCATAGTTCCTTGAAAGTGGAGTTGCAGGTAGACAGGGCCGTGAAGAAGGTGTTTGGTACGCTTGCCTTTATTGGTCAGTGCATTGAGTACAGGAGTTGGGAGGGTCATGTTGCGGCTGTACAGAACATTGGTTAGGGCCACTTTTGGAATATTGCGTTTAATTCTGGTCTCCCTGCTATAGAAAGGATGTTATTAAACTGGAAAAGGTTCAGAAAAGATTAACAAGGATGTTGGAGGGTTTGAGCTGTAGAGAGAGGCTGAATAGACTGGGGTTATTTTCCCTGGAGTATCTGTGGCTCAGGGGTGACCTTAGTACAGAGGTTTATAAAATCATGAGGGGCATGGATGGGGGTGAATAGTGAAGGTCTTTTCCCCCAGGGTAGTGGAGTCCAAAACTAGAGGGGCATGGGTTTAAGGTGAGAGGGGGAAAGATTTAAAAGGGACCTGTGCGGCAACTTTTTCACGCAGAGGGTGGTGCGTGTATGGAATGAGCTGCCAGAGGAAGTGGTGGAGGCTGGTACAATGACAACATTTAAAAGGCATCTGGATGGTACATGGATAGGAAGGATTTAGAGGGATAGGGGTCAAATGCTGATGAATCGGACCAGATTAATTTAGGATATCTGGTCAGTATGGACGAGGTAGACTGAAGGGCCTATCTCCATACTGTACGACTTTATGACTGTAAGGCGAGGCAAGCAATTATGGAGACTCGGGACCAAAAGAAATTGTGTCGGATTTGGAGAAGCACTCTGCATTTTAACGTTTTGTTGTGTTTTACAGCACCGTGGGGGAAGAGAAGCTGGAAAACTTTCTACGCTGTACTGAAGGGGACTGTCATCTACCTCATGAAGGTAAGGCCTATGGTGCACAGCCCTTCACCCCTGTGTTCACAATGTGTGTCCGCCCGAGAAAAACAGTCACAAACATCAGTGTACGTTCAAGATGGGTTAAGGGAATGGGCAAATGAAGTATAATGTGGGAAAATCGTTCATTTTGGAAGGGAGAGTGAAACAGCAGAGTATAATTTCAATGGAGAAAGACTGCAGAAAGCTGTAACACAAAGGGGATGTGACGGGAGGCACTTGTACACGAAACACAGAAGCTGGCACACAGGGACAGCAGGGAATCAGGAACGGTCAATGGAATGTTGGCTCTTATTCCAAGGGCATTGGAGTATAAGAGTAGGGAATTCTTACTGCAACTGGACAAGGTGCTGGGGGGGGTGTGGGGGACCACATCTGGAGAACTGTGAGCAGGTTTGGTTCCCCCCCATATTTAAGGAAAGATATCATTTCATTAGAGGCAGCTTGGAGAAGGTTCACTGGGACGATCCCTGGGGATGGAGGGATTGTCTTATGGGAAAAGGCTAGACAGGTCGGGACTCTGACTCACTGGAGTTTAGGAGGATGAGAGGCGATCCCATTGAAACATATTGACAGGGTCAATGCTGAGAGGGTGTTCCCCCTCATGGGAGAGTCTAGGACCAGAGGGCACAGCCTCAGAGTAAAGGGGGCACCAACTGAAGACTGAGATGGGGAGGAATTTCTTCTCTCCGGGGGGCGGGGGGTGTTGGGAGTCTTTGGGATCCTCACCACAGAGAGCTGTGTGGGTGGGGCAGAGTCCTTGTGTATATTTAAGGCTGAGATCGATAGATTCTTGATCAGTCGGGGAATCACAGGAGAAAAAATGGCAGGAAAACGGACGTGAGGAATGTGGGATCCTATTGAATGGGGTAGCAGGGTGGAGGGGCTGTGTGGATTACTCCTGCTCCTGTTCCTCTCTTAAAAGGACTTTGTGGAATGCACAGCCTATTCATAACCGACACAATTAATGCAGGGAAGTGTGAAACGATTAATTTTGGTGGGAAGGCTGAGGCACAAGGGCAATAGAACGTAAAGGAGAAACCCAGGAAATATGTGGCAGAAGAATTGGGGAAAACACTTAATAAAATACACAGTCATCCCGGCTTTGTGAAGAAATGGGGAACAGAACCTCGACATCAGTGATGGAGAGTTTTACAAATCTCTGCCTCAAGACAGAGCACAGGCTCCGGATGGATGTGGGATTTTGGGACTTGAGCGACGACAGAGCTTCGGATGAGAGGGAGAAATCGGAGCCGAGAGGTGGGAGACGCAGAGAGGTGATTGTTTTGCCCGAACACATGGATTTAAAGGAATTGGCGGATGGCGGCGAGGACGGAATGCTGTTTGTAAGCGGTTAGGATCTGGAATGGACTGACCCAGGCAGCGATGGGAGTAGGCTCCATCCAGAAAGGGATTGGCTAAATATATGAAGAGGAAAATAAAACCAAAGGGCAGGAGGGGTGGGCCTATCACGTGTCGCGCACCCTCGCCCCAGCAGAGAAATATGGGCTGAATGGCCTCCTTCAAGGAAGAGGAAATGGATTGATCATTTCCGATCCTATTCCCGGGCATTTCAGCCAGCCGATAGGAGGAGGGTGATTCCTCTGTAGATGTTCACAGTCTGGGGTGTGAGGTGCATCATGGAGTCATATGGCACGGAAACAGACCCAACCAGTCCATTATCCCAAGCTAACCTGGTCCCCACCTGCCTGCTCCTGGCCCTTATCTCTCCAAACCTTTCCTATTCATGTACTTGTCCAAATGTCTTTTAAATGTTGTAACTGTACCCACATCCACCACTTCCTCTGGAAGAGAATGCCCCCCCATGTCTTTTTTAAGTCTTTCTCCTCTCACCTTATAAATATGTCCCCTAGTCTTGAAATCCACCATCCTAGGGAAAAGACACCTGCGATTAATTCTATCTATGCCCCTCATGATTTTATAAACCTTTATAAGGTCTCTGCTCAACCTCCTGCGCTCCAGTGCAAAAAGTCCCAGCCTCTCTTTATCACTCAAACCCTATATTCCCGGCAAAATCTGGTAAATCTCTTCTGAACCCTCTCCAGTTTAATAACATCCTTCCTATAACAGGGCGACCAGAACTGGACACAGTGCTCCAGAAGAGGCCTCACCGACGTCCTGTACAACCTCAACATTATGTCCCCAACTCCTACACTCAAAGGTCTGAGCAATGAAGGCAAGCGTGCTAAACGCCTTCTTAACCACCCTGTCTACATGTGACACAAACTTCAAAGAATTATGTACCTGAACCCCTAGGTCTCTCTGTTCTACAGCACTACCCAAGACCCTACTTTTAATTGTATAAGTCCTGCCCTTGTTTGTTTTACCAAAATGCACTCCCTCGCATTTATCCAAATTAAACTCCATCTGCCACCCCTCAGCCCCATTGACCCGATTGATCAAGATCTTTTTGTAATTCTTAGCTAACCTTCTTCACCATCCACTGTCCCACCAATCTTGGTGTCATCTGCAAACTTACTAACCATGCCTTCTGGATTCTCATCCAAATTGTTTATATAAATGACAAACATAAGAGGACACAGAATCAACGGCGCCCTAATTTTACCTCAGGACCCGAGTGCAGAATCATGGAATCCCTACAGTGTGGAAGCAGGCCATTCGGCCCATCGAGTCCTCACCGACCTTCTGAAGAGCATCCCACCCAGAACCCCTCCTTATCCTTTCCCTGCATTTCCCACCCTAGATACTACAGGCAATTTAGCATGGCCAATCCACCCTAACCCGCACATCTTAGGACTGTGGGAGGAAACCAGAGCACCCGGAGAAAATCCACGGGGGAGAATTTGCAAACTCTGCACAGACAGTCGCCCGAGGCTGGAATCGAACCCGGGTCCCTGGCGACGTGAGGCAGCAGCGCCAACCGCTGAGCCACAGAAGTTGCTGATAGAGCTTCCACTCAGCACCAGAGCGCCTTCAGGCCCCCGTGTGCCGCCATTTGGCCCGTCATATCCGTGCCAGCTGTCTGTAGAGAAACATGACCTTGTCCCATTTCTCTTTCTGCTCCCCTGCATAACACTGAACTCTCCACCCTCAGCTCTGATCCCTGTAGCCCCGCGACTTCATTTCCTCCCATCTTTCAGCCTCAG